GATCGCTCATTTTTTTTACATCCTTCTTCCTTGTTTTATTGGCTCACTAATGAGTAGGTCTGGCATAAATAACCATCTGGTGTATCTTAGCCCTTAGCAGCTGTTCCTATTTTATACTGATAACTTTCCAATGAGAACCGCTGATAGGGCAGGTTTTAGTTAGGGTTGCAGGTGTATGCTAGAGAGCAAAACGAGGGAGTGAGTAGATTATAAAGACTTCTCTGCCTTTATTCTAAGGCTCTGTTCTTCCTTCACCTCTGAGGTAGGGAGGAAATGAGTTGTGGCTTCCCCTAAAACTAAGGTAAAAAGATGTCTGGTCTGCTCTGAGGGTGGTAGTTAAGTTTTGAATTGCCTAAGGCTAGTAAGGCTGGCTAGTTACGGTAGTAGCTGTAAGTCAATGGTTTCTCAGGATCTAATATTTATGTGGCCTGTCTCTACAACTAATGTTTGTTTGCTGTATCTCAGGAGAGGTCCTAAAAATAATGAAATGCTGTTTTATGGGCATCTGTAAGTGGATAGCTGTCCTTCTGAAAGAAGAGATTGTGCTACTTAAAATGAAGGCTGTGCTCTGTTCTGGGTGGCCTTAATATTTCAACCTGGGGGGGGGTTCAATATTTTTTATAAAATTTCTATGTGATAATTGACTATCAGCTAAACAAACCCTGTTAAAAAGGCCTTGAAGGATGAAATGTTCTTCGTGTGTAGAGTCTGGTAGACTGTATGCTTCTGTTTTGTATGTGGTATGCTAATATTTCTCTGAGCTGCTGTTCCTGACTAGGAGGATGATATATACAGGTTCTAGGCTGGTAGCTATACTGCTGAGCTAAAGCAAGGGGAAATAGCCACCTTTTCATTAGGCTAGCTAATGCCTGCTTTTAGAAACCTATCAGCGATAGCAAATAATCTTTTCTTTAATAAAAAAAAGTTTGATTATCACAAGATGATACTTTGTCAAAAGCCTTGACTTGTCTAGGGGTGTAATTCACGTGAGCTATTTGCTTTTTACTCTTAAACTAAAAAACATACCTCTATCAGGTTAGATAAAAACTTCAAATTGAGCCTTAAGGAAACACTCAAGGCTTCTCTTTTGAGACTGCTTGACCTTTGGGACCAGCAGCTCAAGGACATGTGGGGCTGGGAAGGGGTGGCTTGAAAAATATCAAGTAATCTTGCTGGCTGGCATCTGATCACACTTTTGCTTCAGTATACAAATGTGGGTTTTACTTTAAGCTAGAGAGGAGCCCTATGTGAGGGCGGGCAGGCAGGTAGTAAAGGAGGGATAGACACCAAAACATAACCCCTTGTCTGTCCTTTACAATATGCAGTCTTAGCTCTTTTGTTGGCATGGAAGTTAGTTTCCACAGCATAAATTAAGGTTTTTAAAAGCTAGGCATCTAGGCCCAAGACACTGTGTTATGTACACAAAACTTCAATCCCCTGGTTTCCTTGGGCACTCTTGATACCAAGTCTGAGCTGCCTTCAAGACTCTGTACAATAAATTAGATGTTATTTTATGTTTTTCTTTCAGCACTAAATGTTATTTGTCTGCTTTTTATGATGGGACTTTTTAAGTTCAAACTGTAGTCTTTCCCTTCCTGTTTTCAGTTTCTAGCCTCTGTGCTTCAGATGGAGAAGGTGAACAACTTGCACTTTTTAATCACAAAATGTGTTTTTTTGGCAGAAAGAATCAGGGAAAAATGATAGTGTGGCCTAACAGATGAAAATTGTGGATGATGGACTTGGCTGGATTGTGGGATTCTTAAAACTGCCTCAGAACTTGTCCAAGTTCTTCTAATACTGACCAGTTACTGGAGAGGCAGACCATGTGTGTCTAGATTTTTCCATTCTGAGATATACACATTGTTGAAAAGGTTAGCATTTAGCATGATGTGTGGCGGTGCAAACTATATGCACTTTTCTTATCTAAGGTGTAATATATATGGAGTTAAACTTAAGTTTTTCAGCTTTTTTGGCTTGTTTTAACTTCTATTGTAAACTCTTGCTAGGGCAAGAAATACCATATAGCAGTAGAAATGGTTTATATTCAAAGCAGCTGCTCTTGGGGCTGGATGCAGCTATATGTTGTTTGTGGGTGGGAGCATATATGCCTTTAAATATGAAACATATATTGGGGTGGAGAGGATGGAGGATACCATGTAGTTGTTTGTGCATGTTACTACAAAATCTTTGTATGACTGTAGTGCTGGAAAAGATGAGGAAATTGCAGCTTCTGCAGCTGTTATTCCCTTCATCTCTGTGCTCTCCCCCTCTTGCTAGAGTACACAAGACAACTCAATATTTGGAATTTACTTGGCCTTCCAGACTCTAAGTTCAGCATCAAACTTTTTATGAAGTTCTGGTCCTTTCTTGTTTTGGATACTGCTACCTGCTTGTGTGTTTCCATCTCAATAAAAGACATGTGAAGCCTGAGATTGTGTACTTGGTAAAAAACAAAAAAAAAAATTACATTTGCATTCACTTTTCATATTAGGCAGGTGTTGTTATTTTCCAAGGCATGCAAACTCTAAATGTGTGCAGCAAACTCTAGAAAAAAAAGAAATGGATGTTGCTTGTTCAGAGAGAGAGTGATATGGATGCCTTAACTGTGGTACTGCATCAACAGAAGGTGTCTGGTGAGCTTGCCACTGGCTTGTGCCAGGAGGCAGGCAGGGCTCTGAGCTGACTGGAAGGACAGTGCCAGTAAGGTTGTTGCTCAATACCCCAGCTGGCTGGGTTCCCTCTGGGCAGCTACGGGCATCTCCAACTGAAAGTCCAGAATGAGTGGTCAAAAAGAACAAGTTAGTCTGATACCAGCCTCTTCCCCAGGAGAGAATAAGTTGCTGCCAGACTGACAACAACAAAAATGCAATGCATTTTGTGCTACATTGTTAGTGCCTCAGCTCCTGAGACCAAAATGATATATAGCTAACAGTTTAAAACTGCAAACTTTGCTGTAAGGAGGTAGCTGGGGCTTCAGTATTTTAAGGGGAGGTACTCTGAGTTAGTGTTTCTAAGCCCCTCTGGAAGGAAAGAGCGGGAACAGGAGAGAAAAAAAATTAGATCATGAAGTCACTTCTGAATTAAAAAAGAGACCAAGTACATGCTCCGGTACCTACTACTGTATCAACTAGCTTTGCAAAAGCAGGCAGCAGAGAAATGCCTAACCTCAGAGTTAGCACACTGTTAAGCACAAGGCAGGCTCTATCTTCTCTGTCTCTGGAGCGCAAGCTGTTTTGCACGTACTGTACCCTGGCAGCTGAATATCTTATTCCAGGAAAAATAGGTTCCCTTTGGGTTTTTTGAAATCTGCTTTAGAGTAAGTGTTAGATTTGGTCTCATCAGAAGACACAGGTGACAGAGGATGATTATTCTCCAATTTAAAGTTAACACAGCTTGTTATTTATATGACTTGAAACTAAAACTATTAAAATTGTCCTCTCAAGTGAAATTAGTATTATGAAAAATAACAGTAGCTGTGATACCTGCTCTACTGTGGACCTCAAAACAATCTGATCTTGTACTAAATTTGTTACTGATGTAGTGTCTATCTAGGTATGCATAGCCCAGAACTGTTCCTGGTATTAACAACTCAGGTTTGATACGTTTTCCTCATTTAAGAAAAAAGAAAACTTCTGCCTCGATGACAGTACTGTTCAATGAAAGATACCTGCATTTTGTACATGACTAGACTGAACACATGGGGGAGAAATCAGAACAGCTCTTTAGCTTCAAGAGCTGTTCGAGAAGAGGCACGCTTTTGAATGCAGAAATAAAGACGAAAATGTAAGATGTGTGAGATGTAATGTCCGATGGGATGTTACAGTTGTAACAGTGGGGCAGAGATAAAATTCTAGCAGTGTGCTGATAACAATAGTTATCTATCTTATTATGACCTCTTCTGAAACTCATGAAATACTTTATGCCATGATGAAAAACAGGCCATCGGATTTTTCTTTTTTTTAGCAGAAAGCAGGACAAATTGAGAATGGAGTAAGTAATGCTTGATCAAATGAATACATAAAAAGAAACCATTACGTTGGTAAACCAAGGAACTACAGTTAGAATGAGAAAATATGGTGCTTTTTGGTTTTAATGGGGAGAAGAAAGCGAGACTCTTGACTGTTTGTAACTCAATGATGAGCAAAGGAGGTGTGCAAGGACTTGAACTTCTGTAACTGTTCTTGGCAAAGGTCTTGTCTAGCTTAGTGCTGGCATTATACACCCCAAAACAGGGCCTCTGCCATTCCTAAGTACCTGCATGTTCTGCTCCAGCACAGCAACACTGCGCTGGCTAAAGGCAAATTACCATGGCTGCTCCTTGCAATAGTCTTTAAATGATCCGAAACTGTTTGGTGAGGGGGATGAACCTTTCATAGTCCTCTGGTACATAACAAAGCTGATGCACAGTGGCAGAAAATGCTGTTGTGAATATAAACAAACTTGAAAAACACAGTTTCAAAATAGGCTTATGCTATAGCATTTTATTGGCGGTTGTAGGACTTCTGTGTGGTGACTTGGCTGAGATGCATGAGGAAGGTAATACCTAGCTATTGCTGTGTGCTAAGTGAGACTTGCACTGTGTGCTGTAAACCTGCTTCTTAGGTTAAACCTTTTCTATAGAGGGAGGGAGGCAGGCAGAGGATGTATTCCTAGACTTTGATAGATGAACTTTTGTGAGGAAGCTTATTTCTAGGGAAATGTTACAGATCTCAACATGCCTCCTCTTTAAGCCTTTACAAATATAGCTGTTTATAACCTAAAGAACTGACTTCTAGTGGTCCAGCACATCCAATTTTGCACTGTAAAACAAATGTGTCTTGGTTAAACCATGGAGGTATGCCTGCGACTACAGTACTGACACTTCACAAACAGAAGTGAATATGGAAACAGCATTAAATCTAGATATTGTCACTGGTTACTATTTATTTTTCTTTTTTTTCCCCTCAGGTTAGATTTATAATGAAGATCTCTGAACAAGTGGATATATAAACTTGCTAAAGATGTCTGTTCCAAGCCAACACTGTTCTATTATTATTAACCCTCCTCCACCAGAATATATAAATAACAAAAATAGTGGCTGTCAAACAAACCAACTTCAGTACTTACAAAGGGTGGTCATGAAAGCCATGTGGAGACACAACTTTTCCTGGCCATTTCATCAGCCTGTAGATGCAGCAGCACTGAATCTTCCTGTAAGGACCATTTTGGAATTGGAGTGTTAATATGTAAAGTATTACAGGACTTGTGAATTAATGTTAGTTTAAAAGAGTTTTTTCTGATGCAATGGATCATGGGTGACTACTTTTGCATATTAACTGCTTTCATTAATCTAAGTCTGCAAGAAAACTGTGTTGTCTCTCTGGTTCGTACTAAATGCTGCATCTTTGTTCATTTGCTTTCTGATCTGAGACTGTAGTAAATCAATATTTCTAAGGGATAATAAGAATGCTTAGACAGGCCCCTTGGCATTTCTGGATGTTGGTATTCTGTCTTGTTTTCTTTCTACCTCCCTGCTGGTTTAGCCATATTTCTTAACAGTGCCGATGATGAGTATTTTCTTTTGCCTTTGAGTTTTTTATTTTTAATAAGAGGTAGCCAGTCTCTTTCAATGTCAAATACTTTATGATGGAAAAGCAAATCTGATTGACCCTAAAGTAAATAGGCAAATCTGGATCCAGTTTGATGGATAGAAGTAATTACATTTGTAGTACAATTTCAAATCAACTTTGGCATCTTGCTCTGAAGTTTCTAGAAGAATTAAATGTGCCTGCAAAAATAGGGAAGAAAGAGTTATGGTGTTCTGATCATACCACAGTGACAGAACATTCTTCTAGGAAATAGAAGAGATTGGATGCTTAAATTCTTGTTCTGTATTGCCTTGTGGGTTTATTTATGTTACAGTTTAATTGCAACAAAGTGAATGAATATAATGAGACAAATTGTTTTAATTCAGGTATCTTTAGATTCCAGTTTTGGATCACCCCAGCTTTTTCAGTCAAATGAAAACATTAGTTATTCACACAATGGTATTTCAAATGACCTGGAAGATACTGCTCTTGGTAGATAAGTAAAAGATGTTAAATAAAACTATGGTACGTTTCCTTTGATTCTTTTTTCTTTTTTTTCCCCTGCCGCAGCTTAAGTAATCATATTTAGTTCTCTCAAATTTCCAAGACTAATTCTACAAAATCATTGCTTCTGTTTAGAGCAGACAAAAGCCTTTATCTGCAGCTGTTTCTCATGACAAACTCATTTGGTCAGTTTGTCCAAAAGCACAGTCAAAGTGACTCTCTTTCTCTGTCTTTTCTTACCCTTTTTCCTTCTTGGAAGGAACTGTCACTTAAGGTTAATATTAAGGGTCATTCAGAGTTGTAGCAACATTTGCAGCTGGCCTCAGGCCAGTTCTGCCTCTCTGGATTTCTAAGGCAGCCACTTGACTTCTAAAAGTATGTGATAGTTCAACCGTTGCACAATAACAAGCAAACCTCTGGCTCCATGGCAAGGACAATGAAGGTATTTGCCTCCTTTGCCTTTCTCCTCCAGGTGTTAGAAGATGCAGAATGGACAATACTTATTAGCTGTGTTATTTAAGAGCTTTCTTGGTTTTGTTTTGGTAAATTCAACAGTCTGCACTATGATGTATTTAGCTTTTTTATTTCACTAAAACAGATTGCTAGGACAGCTTTAGAAGACTCTTGAAGTAGTAGTAACTTCATACAATTACAATGTATATGTGAACTTAGTGGGGATATTCCTGTTCTGATTTCTTAAATGTGCCAGCAGGGAATTAGCCTCATGCTCTTAATCACAAGCTTTCAGCCATGCTACTAAAATAATCACAATAGTTCACATTCCAGCTGCCTTTCAGTCATATTGCCACATCTTCACCAGACTAACCCTGAGAGGAGAGCCAATATAACCCAGGGGATGAAGTATTTGATCAGCCACTGTGAAAACTTGGCGGCTTCTTTTTTGTCAGTGACTGAGTCTTTGTCTTTGTCAAAGCCTGTCTTTGGCTTCTTTCCCTCTGTGCTGTAAACTGGAGTGCTACTTCAGGTAAATGGCTTTGAGATAACAAATGAGAAGTACGTATACTTTCCATAAGTACTACTGCCAGTGTAGCTCTGGATCTTATTGAAATAAATATTCTTTGGGGCTTTGAATGGTGGATGTTATATGAAAGAGCAAGGAGAAAATGAGGTGAAGAGCTCCTGACCACTTAGTTCTGTGGTACCTATGACTACAGGGGAAAGTTTTTCTTTAAATAAAATATTCCTTCCAATGTAATGCAATTCTCCTCTCTTGCAATTTAACTTTCATAACTAAATGTGTAAGAATCTTCATGTCCTAATATTAGAAGATACCTGTTGTGTGACTAACTCTTGCAAAACCACAGGATTATTACAGTATTATAAAGAAACCTATGGACTTGAGCACCATTAAAAAGCGTCTGGAACACAATTACTACACAAAAGCTGTGGAATGCATTGAAGACTTTAAAACAATGTTCTTGAACTGCTACATATATAACAAGGTATGCAAAACACAACCTCTTACCAGTAACCAGTTCTATTGAACAATACATACAAGTCTAAAACAAGCAAATGGTTATTAAAGCCTGCACTAAATTAGTCAGTCTTCATGATTTTTTGAAACTATTTTCTCTGAAAGGTGGGGGGGCTTTCTTGCTAGGATTGACTGTGGGCATGTAAGCAAAGTCTAGCCCGCAGTTACAACTGAGGGCATAGTCTTTTCTGCACAAGGATTCCGCTTGCAAAATCTCTGTGTTTTAGTTGCAGAGCTATACAAGTTTAAGGCTAGCAACCCTGAGCCATGCTCTGCTCCTCCAAAAAGTTTTAACTAACCTGATTTGAAGTGTTACCATCTCCCTGCGCTTGGATGTTTGTTGGCTGTGTCACATCTTTAAGCTTCAACAGCTTTCTTCAGAACACAGGAATGAATAAGGGAGTTACAGATCTGCCCCCTTTCCCTTTGCTGCGAGAAGTATGTGGATATAAAGCAAGTAGGACTGTGCAATGGGACAGTGGGAGAAAGAGTATTTCAGTGACAAAGCAACTTGTATTAAAGTGAGTTGGAGGGGCAGGGATGGCAAGGACTTACAGACCTCTCTGGTACTGGTGGCTTGTTTCAATCTGTTGGAGCAGGATTCTGTAGACTGTTTATTTCACAAGGCAGCCCTCCATTACTGCAGCCTCTCCTTTACTCTGAATGTCACTGACTATATTTTGCAGCCTGGTGATGACATTGTGTTTATGGCCCAAGAACTAGAAAAAGTGTTTATGCAGAAAATAGCCCAAATGCCACCAGAAGAAAGACTAGTGATTCTCAACAAAGGAAAGCGAAAAGGAAAGAAGCCAGAAGGTAAGGCCTGTATTATATGCTGAACTGCAAAAACTTCCAGCAAAAGCTGGAAACAGGGAATCCTCTGTAGCTTGTCGCAGCTCAACCCTGGAGCAGTCGGGGTGTTCTCCACTTTTCCTAGAACATATCAGACAAGTAACAACATTGCTATAAGGCTTTAGCAGATTCAGTGCAGCCATCATGGTTTTTTATAGGTGCTAGCTAAATTTCCTACTTTCTACTAATGAAATGTGTTTTAAGGGGGGGTAAAAAGTCAGAATTAACAACTTCATCAGTAGTGTAACAGCATAGCTTCACAGCCAAACTTCTGGTGAAATGCAGTGCTCTTGCCCACAAAAAGGACAATTCAGTCAAGACATCTCAAACTCATGAGGAAATTGCATATTAAGTGCTTGAAGTGACATTGGGAAGCCTAATTGCAAGAGGCCAGGTGATTAGCTGCAAGTTATTACTCATCACTGACCTCCTATGTCTTTTTAATTGCTCTTATAACCTGTTTCACTTGTACAAAGTGCTCACTTCTACATCTAAGCTCTCAACATTGCCAAAGAATAAATATTTATATTGATAGGAGTAAGACTATGCAGTGCCTGGAATCACATGTTCATCTCTATCAGTTAATTTGGAGACTTCCAAGGTAGTCTTCCAAATTGGCCTGGAGGTACTGCTGTCAGTTGTTGGGGAAATGTTAGCTATGTCTTGAAAGAGCTGCAACACTTCTTCATCCTGATACCTCTTAATTATTTGCCTTCTGACAGCCATGGAGCAGTGATCTTAGCTAGCTCAGATCTTACTGGGTCACCTAACAGATGCTCTTATTATTTAGCTATGCAACTATACAGCTCTTCAGGGTCTCCTGATGACTTCATTTGCTTCCTCTTACTGCTGTTTGTGGTGTGGTTGTCCTTGTTGCTGATAGTATCTGAAACAAATGTTTCTTCAAAGTAGTATTACAGTTTGATAGATCTCTGTAGCTTTCTCCTCTAGGTGTATTTGAGGAGCAACACTACCTTTCGGTGATCTGGTAGATGGAAAAGCAGTGGATTTCTTGGTCCTTTCACAAGAATTCTTAGGGGGTTAGGAGGAAGAGGAGGATGCTCAGCTGGCTTCCTGCTCTTACTAGCTTATATGAGTAAAGTCTCAAGCAATTCATTGCCTTGGCAGAATATGTTGGTTGCACAGGTAGAAGTGACTCCCTGAAAAGATTTGAGAAATGTGTTGGAAGCTGAGTTAGCTTTTTGGTTCTCAAATGATTGCAACAATTTAAGATGCTTTCATAACACAATCTTGCTGGTATTAATGCTGTTCCCTCCATTCCCTTTGCACACACAAACATGCAGCTTGTACAAATTTTGAAACATTCTAAGCACTTCTTTTTGAATTGGATAGTAGAGCACACTGCTATGATCAAGGAAGTATTTCTGTCCTGTCTTTCACAGACTTTGGCTTTAGAGACAGATCTACACACACAGCTTATTTCCCTTTAAAGAAAAAAGAAGGCAACTGACTTCCATTTTAGAGAATGTCATGGTGTTACTCAGTGTTGTGTTATATAAACTAATAGGTGTGAACGTCTATGGGAACTGAACAGAATCACAGAGCTGGAAAAGACATTAGTAATCTAACTAGCCAAATCAAATACAGTAATATTACTGAGCAATATATGCAGGTCTTAACTATGCTTAGGAAACTTGAACCTTCATGATGCAGTTTGCATCCTTTGCTGCTTGGTCTTTATGTGCGTGTAGAAAACAACTTGATTCTCTTCTTGGCAAGCACATTTTTGCCATGTCCAGGTTTCAGCGTGATGTCTCTTTAATCTTCCCTCTGAGGTTAATCCACAGCTCCCTTGATGCTAAATATGCATAACTTGGTACAATACTCTAGCTGAGGTGTTAATGGTCCCAAGTAGAGGAGGATACCAATGTTGCTATATGTAACAATGCTTTTGTTTCTATTTATTTGTATAGTTTGGGTGTGGAAGAGTGGTTCTGTTGACAACTGTTCAATCTGGTCAGGAAAGATATTAGCTGCAACATTTAAGACCTAACTTTAAAACTTTCTGTTTTAAAATAACCAGAAACACAGCAGCCCAACCCTGGGACTTCAAATGAACAAAGCACAGCGCAGAAACAAGCTGAAAGCAGTGAGCAGCCTCCAGTGATGACTCAAGAGCTACATCAGGTTACACTAGCTCCTTTGTCTGCAGCTCAGCTGACTGCTTTAATGCCAGCTGCAGTCCCTATAACAAAAGTAAGCTTCCTCAAATAACTTTCAGAAAGAAAGGTATTGAAATTGCTGCTTCAGGCACTAACAGCAAAACCATGGGAGCCATGCTTATTGCAATATCTTTTCAAAACTTCTATTGTGATAGAAGATAGTAAGAGATCTCTGTTAAAACTTCTAGGTCTCTGCTAAATAACCAGGCCAGTACTAATTCTAGAAACTAAGCAGAAATTGGTATGACTGCTTGGTACATCTTTTCATACAAATGTGGTTTTTAAATGTTGTTCTCAAAGAAACAAAGTGAACTTTGAGATGGTCATTCCTGAAGTATGCTACTATACTTCTGCAGGCTTCACGTTGATGTAGAAACTGTTCTTTCCTTGAGGGGTAGATAATGGGTTTAGTATTAAAATAAAGCTCTAAGTTCTATTTAATAACTTCTCATGTTTTCAATGTAAATCAAATGCTTGATTCCCCAAAAATAGCATGTTTGCTTAAAAGTTGTGTAACTAACCTGGAAGGTGTTTGTAGCTCACAAAAGCAAATTCTTGTTAACTGCAATCTGAATTGTATGTGAACATCTGACATTTTCATCAGATAAACATCTTGTATTGACTTAGTTTTGGTTTTGCTCTTCCAATGAGGAATGGGCACATGTGTCACGCTCTCCTACAGTGTATGTTTACACTTTACTGAAGAGTCTGAACACTGATGACAGAGCACACACTGTATTGCTTCCAAACCAAATACCACCAAAGTTAAAGAAAAATAGAGATAAACCTTGTGCGTAAAGCCCTCAACCAGGCTTAAAATGAATTGCGATAATTTTTCCCCTTCCCATGGTAGTCGTCTTGTGGTAACTTCATAACCTACCAGCTACTTGGAGTCTTCTCAAATGGCTAAAAACTGACCACAACCTGACCTGCAGTACACTCTGTTCTTTCCTTTACATCTAAGATTGAGCTTGGCATGCTGATCTTGTAATGCCTTGTAGGTTTTCAGTCTAAACTTGTGGAAGTGCCATGTTCTGCTCTGCCTTCAATAGCTGTAATGGTTCTGACATTTTTAGAATTTTTTTGTGTAGTCTGAAAGCTGACCATTCTCTCACTGTTCTGGACATCTATTTTGGACTGTCAAATTTTCTTTTCCTAGGCAAAAAAAGGTGTGAAAAGGAAGGCTGACACTACAACTCCTACTACTTCAATATTCACAGCAAGCGGTGAATCTTCTGCAACATTTAATGAAAGAAAAGCTGTTAAAGCATGCAGAGGTGAAAATGAACGTATGATACCAAATAAGCTTCTGAAGACATACTTGCCAGATTCTCAACAGTCACCTGGAATTCTTAAAAAGACTCAGTTGTCAGAACAAATGAAACATTGTAATGAAATACTTAAAGAAATGTTTTCAAAGAAACATGCAGCATATGCGTGGCCTTTCTTAAAACCTGTAAATGTTGCATCTTTCTCACTCAGTGAGAACCAAGGGATTCCAAAATGTCCTGCAAACCTGGGAGCCATTAAAGTAAGTATGTTTCAGAGGGAATTGGACTATTTGTGTGCTTGCTTGAATAACTTGTGCAATGACTGGATTTTAATAGTGTTAACTGAAAAGGTGTCATGAAAGCTGCTTCTTTGAAAGAAATAATGGGCATAGAAGCCATATACACTTATCTCTCTCAAGAAACTAAGCCACAGCTCACTGAAGAAAGTCTAAGTCTCAGTGTGACTGTGTGCGCAGCAGCTAATCTACTTATCTGTTGAACAAGCTAATATAAGTAATGAGGGAATTGCCATCTCCATGAAGCACTTCCAAGCGGGCTGCATGTTAAATATTTTTTCAGTCTGTATACACAATGCTGTTCCTAATGCTCTATAAAACAAGATGCAATTCTGTAATGTCAACTTCTGCTTCTCTGAATCTCATTATCCTTGAAGTGCCCTGGAACATCAACACTGAATATTTACATGACACCTCTCACACCTTCTGTGAAAAGGAACCCTTCTAGATGGAGATATGTGGCCAGTGCTTTGTGAACACTGGGCACATCTGTCTGGGGTTGAAGTATTTAGCCAAGTTAAGACCCACCTTTGTGGGGAGGGTTGGCTTTCAATAGTCTATTGAATTATCTTGAAAACTGGCTTGCACAATATAAAGGTTATTTCCCAATTTCTAGCCCATTACTTTGACTCAAGCACTTATGGAATAGGCTTTGTATAAATACCATGCTTAGAATCAAAACCAAGTGCTGAGCACATGACCAAATAAAATCACCCAAACATTGTTGTCTTGACCTGGTGCTGAAACTAGTACTACAAAGTCCTTAAAGCAATTACAGTTAGCAAATCTGTTTAAAAGAGGAAATTCTCTTACTTTATTAAAGGGATAATGTAAAAAGAGAAGCAGGTCTTTCTATAATGGCTTTTACAATGTTTGCTGTCTTGACACAAGCTGAACCTGATATACTGGATGTCAAAATTCTTGTTCCTCCTCTTTTTCTGCCAGTTCATGGTGATGCTCTCTACTTTTAAGCCCTAAATGTGCATTAATCTTCTTTTCCTCTAGAAGAAAATGGATAATTTTGAATATAGAGATATACAAGAATTTGCTACGGATGTTAGATTAATGTTCATGAGCTGCTACAAACATAATTCTCCAGACCGTGAAATAGTTGCTATGGCAAGAAAACTTCAGGTGAGTTATCGCTTAAGTCAGACTTGACCACAAAGGAATCTTATAGTCCTACTCTCTTTCATCTCGTGCCCTGATGTAGCATCTACTAATGTTACCAACTATCTATGTTGCTGTGTAGTTCTAGAAAACAAGCAGCAACCTCATAATGCTTTTAGAATCTGAAAAACGTGCTGACCTCTGGTGTTCCCAAATGTAACTCTAGGATGTTTTTGAGATGCACTTTGCCAAAATTCCTGATGAACCTGTTGCTAGCGTTCCTCTGACGCAGCCTACAAGAGAAATGATGGAAGCTTATTCCAGTGAGAGCAGTAATGATGACTCTTCAGAAGAAAAATCATCTGAAGACTCTGAGCAGGAGAGAACAGTGCGCCTTGCAAAGCTTCAGGAGCAAGTAAGCATTAGTACTCAATGTGCATGACTGTTACAATCTCTCTGATAATGCTACTTGCAATTGTCCGTTCTAAGGCTTAGCACCAAGAATCAGCATTTTAAATTTTATAGTAATTTGTTTTTCTTAATACAGAACTTTATTCCTGTTTGGAAACACCTCCAAATGTTAAGTGAATAGTGCCTCAGGAAATACAAACTGTTTTTAGTGAATCACTGCTCTAGTACTCTTGCCTAGCACTTCAGATGACTCTCAAACTTCTGAAAAATAAAATCCTGTTGCTGCAGTGTGATGAGAGCATCCAGATACTCCACGTGTAGCTTAGTGGTGTGTTCTTCTAACAATGGCACTTCCTTCATATGGTTGAAGAGCTCTGTTCTTTTGCTCAGTCTCTTCTGAGCCACACAAAAGCAAGTCATTAAATTCTACTTCGGAAAGCTCAGCATGAAGTAAAACAGAAGGAATCTCATGCTAATGTGAAGCATGGCTTTACTTCACTGGCTAAGAGTGGAATGGGTCTTGCTTTTGCTTGAACATACTGCTTTAACCTGCTGCTGCTGTACCTGTAAACTATGGGGAAAACTAGCATCTGTCCATCTTCCTTCTAGTTCCTATGAGGTTTAAACAAACTTGTGTTAAGTCTTTCTCTGAAGCTGTTAGTATGTCCCAACTAGCCATTTTATATCACAAAATACCTGGGGTTTATGGGTTGAAGATGCACAAGCCCAGTCCCACTAGCCTAATTCAGTAACGTTGTAGAGGTCTAACCAAATAAGGAAGGCACTTATGTGCTTCCCAAATGCTTGAAATTAAAGAGGAGCTGCTGGATACTCCTACAGTGACTTTTTTTGCTTTTTTTAATCTTCACAGGATGCTAGAAGACACATGCTGTTAGAAATGTCTGCATAACATAAGTAGCCTTATATCTTCTATATGCATAGTCTGTGACTAATCTATGATATAGTAAGATGCTTGGAAAATAAACCTTGTTTGGAAAGCAAACATCCTATTAATATGTGCTCAGCTGCCACAAATCCTGTGATATTTAGGGCCAGTTTACTGTTCATCCTACATTGCCTAGGATTATCAGTGCTTTTTCTTTTTTTTTGCTAGCTTAAAGCTGTTCACCAGCAGTTGCGGGCTTTGACCAGAGCATACTTACCTAAACTGAAAAAGAAAAAAGGGAAGGCTAAAAGGGAGAAAAGCAAGAACAAAGAAAAAAACAAAATAAAAAGCCAGATTCAAAAGAAGAAAAATCTAAAACACAAGAAGAAATCTAAGAAAAAGCTGTCTTTGAACATGTAAGTGTGGGGGACTTGTGTGGGTGTCAAATTATTTTAAACTGCTGTTACTGCAGTACACTTTTTTTCTTGCAGTCAATCAAAGAAAACCATGCAGCAGGTCTTGTTGGCACATAAGTCAGAAGATGAAGATGGTGCCAAGCCTATGAATTACGATGAAAAAAGACAGTTGAGTTTGGACATAAATAAACTCCCTGGAGATAAGCTTGGGAAAGTAGTCCATATAATACAGTCAAGAGAACCTTCACTGAGAAACTCTAACCCTGATGAGATAGAAATAGACTTTGAAACTTTAAAGGCTTCAACACTCAGAGAACTAGAGAAATACGTGGCAACCTGTTTGAGGAAGAGACCAAGAAAGCAGCGGGGTATGTAGCATAAATGATGCTTTAAAAAAAAAAAAGAAAAAACACCACCTAGATTTGTTTTCTGTTTTGCTGCAATGTTAACTTCTGTTTCACATGCAGCTAAAAAACCAACAAAGTCAAAAGAACAACTTAATTCTGAGAGGAAAGAAGAGCTAGAGAAGAGGCTACTGGATGTCAATGGTCAACTAAACCCCAAAAAGGAGACCCTCAAGAGTAATGTGACTCTTACTTTTATTAATTTGCAACAGAAATAGCTTAAAGTGGCATTCTCCCCTTGGGCTTATACACTGTTATGCAGCCGGGGCTTTCTCCTCAGAACAGTTGAGGTCTTAAGCTTCCTACTGCTAGTCTTAAGATTCTTCCTATGTTGAATGAGCTGGAGTCACAGCAGCAAATTTGGTCAGTTACTTGTCCTGTCTAAAACATCGTCCTTATTCTTGGACCTAATCCTTTATTACAGGTAAAGATGATAACGGCTTCAGAGCTTAAGGGACACTGAATGCCTTCTCCCTTATGCTGACATATGAAAACATGGCGGGGGGGGAGGAGGAGTGTCCCGTGGTCTGTGTACTTGTTTGCAATTCACTTTCTGTGTCTTAGATTCAAGAATAACAAACTCTAGTCATACTTGTTAGATTGCAGCCTCACTAATGCTGTCATGCTAGCAAGACTTCTGTATCAGTGACAGGTGTGCTGTGTTGTCTTAGTCTTTAGGAAGTCCCCTAGGAGAATCAATTCAGTTTTTTGAGCAATAATGCATTTCAATATCAAAGCTAGAAATTCAGTACGTACTTCAGCATATCTACACTTGGTGGTGGCTCTTGTCAGGGACTGAGAACAGATCAATGCAGCTGATGCTGCTATTATAGGTCAAGTTGTTCCTCATTAAACTAGTGAGTGCTATTTTTGCCCTCTATTGGATATCTATTAAGCTCCTATGTAAAACCAGTTAGCTGAAAAGATAGAAGCAGCCCTGCAAGACACAGGCTTGCATCCAGTATTAGCTCAGGCAACAGTCTTCCTGTCTGGTATATGTGATGGCTTGAAAACATCCTAGAAAGAACAACTTAAAGAAGCAGCTGAAATCGGTTGCAAAGGATATGTTGCAGGGAGAGGGAGGAGGCAGGCCAGGGAATCTTTACAACTGGCATCTGGCTTCTTTACAAGAAAGAGCTTAAGCTGGCACTTAACAAAGACTTGCGTCCAGGGAAACAGGTATCCATGTGGCTTCTCATTTTCAAAGCTTCCGTCAGAGCAACACACTTTGAAAAAGCTTTTTGACTGCGAAATCACTATAAACGGAGTTAAATCAATCCTGCAGATGCAAAATAGTCAGATGGTGGGGAGGTGGCAAAAGATGACAATTCTGGAGTACATATGGCTTGGGAAAGAGGAGAGTTGGCTATAGATAAAGACCTCAGCATGCAAGTCTGGCAGCAGCAACAAGCACAGAAACAGGCTCTGAACAGCAGGAAAACTTATGGGGAAAATTGCTTGAATTGTGTAAGATAGCACAGTTTTAACCTACTTTCAGGACTGTAAGCTGTGTGATTACAGCTCCCCATTGGCTATTCATTCATTCAACTAGCTTGCTGCTGGTAAATCTACCTCTCTATAAAGGTCTCAAATCCACTTCTAAATGAACAGTGGACAAGAAAATGGCAGAAGATGAGCTGTTATATGGGAGAATAGACCTAACAAGGTTGATGCTTGTCTTGTATATGAAGACTGCTCTATTGGAGGTTGTTCCAAGTTATTTCTTTCTCTCCTGCAGTTGAAAACAACGTTGAGTCCAGTATTGGACCAAGCAGACTGAGCGACAGCAGCAGCTCCTCAGACTCTGGCAGCAGTACTAGCAGTGGTTCAAGCTCCTCAGATAGCAGCGACTCTGAATCGGGTCAGAAAGCTTTCTTTTGTGTTTGTATAGGCAAAACATCTGCCTTCTCAGTTAGCATCTACTGTTCCACATGCTTACCAAGGACTTCAGTTACCCTTGTAGGTTTGCTCCATGTCGAAGGCTCAATTCCAGTGCTATTAAATCAGTGTCTTAACAGTGAGTTTGTATGTTAAAAAAAACAAACAAACAACAACAAACCTACAACATCCACTCATCAGTGAAAAACTTTAGGGACCAAAATCAGCTAGAAGGAGGTCTGTGTATCTAACCTGGAGACTTCACTATTAGGCTATAGCCTACTCTTGTAGTTTTGATTCCTTTTTGAAACTGTGGTTTACTTTATTTTCATCTTCTGGTCTGCAGCATGAAGTGTGCCCTAGCTTGTCCCTAAGCTGAGGGACAAAAGTGCCAACAGCATTGACTGTAGAGCTTGATGCTTAAGCTGTCTCAAGCTTGTTTAAGGGACATTACAGTGCTGTACCATCAGGATATCAGGATGATGTTGCTCTCTGCACACAGAACTCTCTTCAGTTTTCTAGGACAGAACAGATGTGCCAAACTGGAGGTCTACAACGTAGATATCTGTATGAGGTAACAGTGTGAGATGAATGCTCAACAATTTGCAGTGTGGGCAAGCAAACAGTGGAGTCATTGATGGCAGCAAAGACCTTGATCCTGCAGGAATCTTTGTGGTCTTTTTTTTTTATATCTGGGAGAAGTTCTTTCTTCATCAAGCTGAAGCTAAAGTATCCAAGATAAGGATGGTCCTTTTACTGTGACGTTTGGCTCACTAGGTACAACTGCAACTCGCATCTTGTATGTGTGAATAATGAAACACATGCAAATGATTGATTTTTTTTTTTTTTTTTTCCCCTCCACCCCCTTCTTTCTGCCCACCTCTCTGTATTTACAGTTACAGAAACCTTCTCAAAACAGACTGGAGCCAGGCAGAACTGTCCAACTTCTATGGAAAAGCCTAAGGTAAACTGACTGGAATGAATATAACATTTTTGCCCTAAACGAAGTTATTTGTTACATACAATGGTACTGGAAATGACACAACTTTATCAGGAAATAATGAATATGGCTTGAACGCTACTTGTTCTGTAGGAGTGATTTACATGGAGGTGCGAAATCTGCTGTCTGTTAAAAGTAGCTCCTGAGGCTTTTACTTCTTATAATCATCATGGTAACTCTGTGTTGGGTGAAGGAGAAGAGAAAGAGAGGGAGAATGCTCCATATGCCCCACCCCTCCACCCCACCCACCCCTAAAAAAGGAAAATCCTCTCCAACTTGATCTTTGAGTATAGAATTGACCTAATGGACAGTGCAAACCCCACTTAAATATTTTTTCTGTATCTATGAATAACCTCACTTCTACACCTGAAAATAAATGAACTGTACAATATACTAGTCATTTTCAGGATACTTTATATTACTTATTACTATGGCATTACTATAAGCAACAGCAGTTTTATCTAGAAATAATTTTTAATGCCTCTAAGATTGAATTGCTTTATTCCTGTATATACAGTGGGTGTTAATTCTTGTCAGGGTTAGCTGCCTTTTCACAATTTCCCTTGAAGCTACCAGAGATAGAGACCTCAGATTTCAAAGCAAGATCATAGCAAAGCCTTCATTCTTCTTACAATAGACTTTCTTTCACTTAAAGTGCTTAGCTGGATACAGGAAACTAGGCTGCAAATTTATTATTCAGCTGCTCCTTCTGCATCTTCATAAGCAAAGACTGAGGGGAGGAATTATGCAACACCCTTTTCTTTTTTTTGTTTAAAAAGTGCAGCCTCTGCAGTGACAGAATGACAGCAGTAAACTTGAGAAAAGAGGATACAGGAATTAAGCTTCAGCTTGGTCAGTTATAACAGCCCCTAACTGACTTTCTGAGTAACAATAAACATCATACTTTAAATCCTCATGTTACAGAAAACCCATGAGAACAAAATGTATCTGTCAGACCAAGGCAGTGCACTTCACCTCATGGGTTTTTGTCATCAAAACTTAGAAAATGCTAGATTAGTATCACAATACAAGGACTACTGAATCCTATAAACAGTGGAAATGGAGTGGTGGTGGGGAAAGGGGATCAAATAGCTATAAATGAAGATTTGGCTGTATTAACTACTGCAATCTTTTTCTAGAGAATACCGCTGTGTTTACAGAGGACATCCTGCAATGCTGTTCTGCAAGCACAGCCCTCATCTCTTACTAGTAGATTGCAAAATTGTGGATCATCTGAACTGCAGCAGCCACCTCTCACTGTACTGCAGAGGCTTCAGCCTCTACAGAATAGATCACTTAAACCATCAGAACAATATTCCCAGTCTCCCTCAGGTAACATCCTTATAGCAAGAAGCATGGCTATATTTGACCGCAGAGGAAAGAAGGGAGGGTAGAACTAATGTTTGTACTGCCCAATAAGCTTATCTTGGGGTTTTGGAGGTTATCAAGTGGGTAATAGAAAAAGTTCTTGCAGGATATGCATTATAAAGAGCATGATGTAAATAAAAGTGTGGCAGCACTGAGGATTGGCTAGGGTTTCAGATTACTGGGACACTTATGGTGGGGCAGAACAGCATTAAAACAGGAGGTGGTGTTCATGCCTCCCTCTGATGAGATGGAAAATGATACCTCAATGAACTTAGGGTTACAGGAAGTGCTGAACACCTTAAGGCAGGAATTAGGTGCTTAAACCCACTGCTACCACTCAAGTTCATGTCTGAAATCCCTATTAGCTGAATTTAAAGCTTGGTGCCATAGACCCTCCGAATTGATTGCTGTTGTCTAGACATATCAAATATTAAATTGCTTAGGAACTTGATTAAAGGAGCTATTCTTTTCCCTCCCTCACTTCAAAAGGTCTAATAACTTCAGACACTTCTGAGTTTTTTGTAAAAGACAGCTTGAGCTGGTAGCTGATTAACTGAGAAATCAATTAAAAACTAATTAAAAATAACTGTCTCAAATTGTGCAGCTAGGATACATATCTTCATATCCAGTTAATCCACAGCTCTAAAGAGCGACCTGATTTTGAGATGTAGGACTGCACTTTGCATGTTAGGGGAAATCACACACTACTTCTCTCTCAGGTACAATCTCAGCTGTATCTGCTCTGCATGATGCTCCAGACCAGCAAACTCCTCAGAGTACTCCGAGGACAAAACAGTCTTCTGTCACCCTGTGCACACATGCTCTTCCAGAGGTGAATACGTGCTTCTCTCCAATGCATTCATTTCAAATATCTTCCTTAAAGCATGTTCTTTCTCATTTAAATAAGATCTAATACAATATTCCAGGCTTTAATTTGATGCAATGAAGGCCACTTAAGGTTTACAACAAAAGTTCTCCAAAACCTCACTACCAAAGTGATTCTTATCCTTTAATAGGACACTAATTCATTGCCTGTTGGCTGCAACACAAAAGGAAAGAGTCTGGCTGATCAATATATCAAGCTTATAATGGACTGTAAAGCTTATTTTATTTCTTTTCAGTGCTATAGCTTAAGTAACCCTTGCATACTTAGAGGTTAAAAGCCCACCCTGTTAAACTTAGTTTCACAAAAGAGATGGGCAGCTTATACTATATGTTCCTGTCTTCTAGAAATATCAATCTCATAAGCTCAGTAATACTCTGAAGACTCTAGAGGCTATCCTGGAAAAGTGCGTTGCTTTTTCCTCCTGTTCCTAAAACCATGGAAACTGGGGCCTTCAGGGTCATAGATGAGGTTGTGAAATATTTAGTCACTGTTGATTTCTGTCTTAATATGTTCTTGGAGAGTATCCTGGTTAGAAGGGCCTCTGTGTTACAAAGGAAGTTATTGATGTTACTGCAGCAGCATGATCTCTTCCATCTTAAGATGTTTAACTATCTTTCTCAACATGGTTTCAAACATAGCTGCTTTAGCCAGGTGTCAATAGCTTTTATTTTCTGAAATGGATAGAAACTACCTCTTGAGTCTATGAGCACAGGAATGTGTCCTGCAAGAACGGAAGAAAAGCAACTTGTCCTTTCCCATTTGTGTCCACTATCCAAAGGCAGCAAGTAGTATCTATTATGAGACTCGGGTTTGTGCAACAGCTTCCCCAGTTCAAGGGGATTACTAAACAGTGTTGCACAGAGAGAAAATACCAGTGAACTGAAGTAATGCAGCTGCCCTTCACCCTGATCCATAAGCTAGAGTGGAGTAACTGCCTTCACAACAGTAAAAGCCAACTTCTATTATGTTGTACCATGCCCAGGGTTAAAGAGCTGCTATCATTTTCTCATATTCCATCCACTCCACTCGGGATCTCTGAGCAGTTCATGTTCTAAATACAAAATATTAATGTAAGAACTTGCTTTGACCACTGTAATATGAATGAAATCTAATTCTTCCCTGGTGTTTGCAGAACCTAGAGCTGCAATAATTTACTGCTCTAAGTTTCTAAATCTTTAATCTTGCTGCTGTACAAGAAGAATCCACATGTTTAGCACTTCAGAATATATTTTGAAGTCTAACTTCTCTTCTAGGTATCCAACACAACCTCCCAGGTGGACAGTGCTGATTGGAGCAAACAAGCTGAGAAAACAATACATCTAGACAAATCAAATACACTTCAAAACAAGGCCAGTGAGAGAACTGCTGATTCAATATCCATAAGTCAAGAACAAAGTATGTATTGTCATAATAAAAACTGTAACTGATATCAGGGGTGTAAAGTTAAAAATGTATATGAACCTGGTTTAAAGAAATAAAATGCTGAACACTTGTACATTAATCAGTTTGCAGACTAATGGAGGGGGTGCAGTTTTCCCTTGCTCTTTTTCATTTGCTGCTTTTTTTTTTTTTTAAAAAGTTAACTTAAATGGATGCTTGGTTCGTGTTCTGTGTTAAAACATACAAAGCAAATGATGTTTTGATTTAAGAACTTGGCTTTCTAAATTTAGTACTAGGGATAAGTAACCCAGTCTTCCAGAAAGTCTGAGAGAACCGATGCTCCAATCTGTCAAACTTCACTGGCCTTTAAGCTGTCTTCTGCTGAAGCTTCACGGAGCTCTTTTCCCAGGGTACTTTGTGTCTATTTTGAGTTGCCATCTCTGGCTCTTGGTGACAAGGATCTGACAGTAAAGCAATGTCAAACAGGCTTTCACCATGGAACAAACTTGCAATTTTTACAAGAACACAGGTTCCCTGAAAGCTGCGTTCCATGTAGAGATGCATCAGACTTCATGCATGTTTCAAACTAAAGAATTCTGAGCTGGACACTGAACATCCATGCTGAGAGCCTAGTGTTACCAGACATGACTGTTTTGATTCCTCCTTCACTCTTTCCTCTCTAAACTACCTGTATAGGCTTGAACAGGGGAGGCAACAAACTTCTGAAATCTTGATGAAATTAAGAGGCACAGCCTTCTCGCCGATGAGCTCTTTAATTGTTGCCAGAGAACAATACTGGGTACTTGAGTTGTATTAAAGCAACTCTAAAAATGGAGATTTAATTCTCCAAGATGTTCCATTTGGTATTCTCATGGTCTTAACACACCTATCCATACACATACTGACTTCCTTTGTTTAGACTTGTAGCTGCTGGAGTTCCACAGATTCAGCTAATGATCTTCACTCATAAAGTTTTGAGGCTGCCTAAAACTTGAATTCCTCTCCTGTATACTGCATGACTGTAACTATCCAGATCCTGGTGTTATCTTAATATGCTGAAGAGCTGGGAAAACAAGGAGGAATAAATCAACCTCGCTGTTTCAATATTCATAGGGGGGAAAAAAAAAAAAACAAACAACAAAACATAGCCAAAACTATTGGGAAAGCTTGCTCCCTTCCATACTTAATTGTTTACTGCTTACTCTTTATTCTTCTTAACTTTCTATTCCTCATCCTCATTTAATTTGTACTGTTTCTTCCCTTTTTCATGGGACAGTTTTAGAGGAGCTTCTGTGTTTAATATGGCAACTATCCAGTAATGAGACTCTGCCTTTGAGAACACCCGAACTTCAGCATTATGTTGCATAGCAGAGCTTTTAACACTGTTATGTGAGTGTAGTTATCTGCCCTCTTCCCTAACACAGTGGCATTTGTTTCTGTAATGATACATGCCCCAACTGTGCTCAGTGTTATCTTAGCCTTTCCACTATTAACTCCTGTAGAAAACTGGAAGGAGGTGGGGAAAAATACAGGATTTGGGCTTTTGGTTTTTTGGGCGTTTTTGGTTTTGTTTGTTTTTTTTTAAACAACAACAAAAACTTTGCTAATCTGGAGCTGTTGTAGGACCTGTAATCTATTGATAGAAAATGTAGAGAGTGCTCTGTACTATGTGCATCTACTTAGAGCAAACCAGGGAAACTCATTTTAGAATTGGATGCTTAGAGCAACTCATTGAATTTTGTAGAGAACCCTCTCAGGCACTTCTGTGAGGTTACCTGCATCTCTGAAACAGGAGTTTTTGATTTTTAGACTTGTGATGCCTCTGACGATATGGGTGCAGGCTTGGCATATCGCTGAATTCAGTGGTGGCTTGTTAAGAAACTTAACTTATGAAACCAGTAACTACAAGCTTCCCTTCAAATTAAAAAGCAGTGTCTCTCAATGAGAGGTCCTGTGAAGGCTGGCATTGCTGTAAGTAGCTCTAAAATGTGTGTTTCAAAGCCCATGGCTGCAAATACTTTTGACACAGCCTCATATTCATGCGTTATATCTAGAGCTTTAAGACAGACGTGACTATAAATTTAAATTTATCTTAAGTTTACTTCAGGTAGATCTTGGTGGGTATAACAGGTTGATCAAATTGATTTTCACAACGGGGTTAGATATTTTTGGTTATGTGAAGCTCTTGCTTTATTTTGGAGTATTCAGTGCTCAAGACTGCCTAGTTTCTTATATGAAGATCCAAGCTGCCTGTATGAGGATAAATGATTGATGGAAGAAAGATGCCTATTGTATTAAGATGTTCCTCTTAATACACTAGTTCTCTACTCTGGAGGAGAACAAGTCTCTGATAACAGAATTTGATCTGGGTAGACTTTGCTTAACTGGACCTGGAATCCATGAGAATGTAGATTTGGAACCCTCTTCAGTAGTACTTGAGAGACTTCAGAGGTCTTTTGTCTTATTTTATTCTGCTGTATAGTAAAAACTCTCCTGCTCACTTGCAATTATACCATCTCAGAGGCAATGCATGGAGGCATAGGGTAAAGGCCAGGCACTGTTCTTGTCTTAACTTTTGGAGGCTGTGAGGTCTTTCTGAAAACCCCTTTTATGACAAACTGACTGAGGATTTGATACTCTGCCTTTAGCATTCTAGATTCAAACATCCGAAAACTTTATCCTTCACATTAAAAAAAAAAGTTATCTTGAGTTTTTTATTAAACATTTACTTAAATACTGAACCATCTCAAACTGTAGTAGAGGACCTTTGCTGAATATCTGCATCGTTTATATCTAGTCCTAAAACAGTGGCTTTTTCAGAGTACACCTAGATTTTTCATCCTAGAAGCTCTTTAGAAAGGGAATATAACAAAGTAATACATAAGATGTAAAACAACAACAACAAAAAAAAAAACCAAACAAAAAACCTACCTTACAATACATGGCTTTTGTTAACTGTGTGGTATTCTAGCTGGTCCCTAGTATTACAAAAGTCTATTTTCAGGCCTACCATGTAGGAACTTGTATCTGTTCCTGCATTTTAAAAGTTTTTTTGAAGCCTTAAGAGGTTTGGGGAAAGTGTTTTTCACACAAAATAGTATGGATCTTCTACAGTAACACAGCATATCAGAACTGTTAATCTGAAGTTAGTATTGTCAAAATAGCACTTCCACTTTGCATGTGTAAGTGTTGGGGTTTTTTTCCCTCACAAGTAATAAAGAGTATTCATACCTCCTGTAAGCTACTGGAAATGGGATGACTAGCCGTTAGTGCCTGACCTATTTGCCTTTAGGCAAATAGGCTGGAGAGCTTTAGGCAAAATGAGTTTACATGATGAATGAGGTACTCTTAAATAATGCTGGAATCAAAATGGAAGAGGGCTGGGTGGGGAACGGGACAGGAGGTGAGCAACTGGCAAGGTGCTGTGTTGAGACTTTCTGACCAAACTTTTTGGGCATTCTGCTGGGACCTCTCCTAGAATTAACCAGGAGTTAATCTCTCATATATAGTTGAGCTTAACCATTCCTTTCCCTGCCCCAAACTGGAGGGAAATGGTTCAGTTCAACTTAAGCTTGGGAAGCATCTGGGAGCATTTCTGTCATTCTGAACCAAATAATAATAATAATAAAAAATTACAGTGTAAATTCTTCAGTCAATTTCTAGAATGACTAAATTTTTATCGCTTAAATTTAAGGAAACATAGTCTATAAAATCCACAAGAGTGAAAACTCTTTTTCATTCATCCATCAGGTCATTGTACACCTAATGCTACACCTAATGGTAAAAACATGCTAGAGCCAAAATCTAAAATTCTTCCAAGAAAGGTAAGTGTTGCTCAAGTCCCATTTGAGGAGGAGAGCTTGGGTATACTTACTAGGATCAATAATTCCCTGTCCTGGGATCTTCTCTGAAAATCTGGTCTTTTATGCTTCAGGTATTTAGTGTCTGATAGTTCTTGCGTATTGTTATAACCTGTATAGGTTTATCTCATTTCTAGTGCTAAAAACAAACAAAAAAAATCTATGGGCTTTGATCATTTCAGAAGGTAAATTATCTAAGATTAAGTTAAAAATAACATATCTATATTGCCATTAAAAATATGGCTTATCTTGTCTAGTTTTAATATTTAAACTATTAGCGTTCCTTAATCTAGTTCTAATATTCAAGCTATTAGTGTGCTATCTCTTGCTGATCCAGTAACAAAAATAAGAGTAGTGTGGAATATAGCCTTGGGTACTATTGAAAAACCTTTCTGAAACAGAGTGATACACTTTTGATAATATTATTACAATTGGGAAATAATCTGAAGGTTTTTATTAAATTTAAGCAAAATATTTCTTAGCATACAATAGGTTACCTTAAATAGAGGAGCAGAGGAATTTTCTTACCTGTTATTTAAATTCTTCTGTGGTAATCAGTTATTTGAAAACATCAAATCAAAATTGCTACTCTAAATTATTGATCATGTCAGCCTCTGGACCTAAAAAGCTCGTATATAGTCTGTTGAATTAAAATATTCCTAGGATTTTTCTTTAGGCACTTAGCTCTTAGTAAGCTATTAACTAATTTACTGAATTCAATTTAAAAAATATGTATTTCCTTCATAAACACGTGGCCTTCTAGTAGAAGCAGTACGTCTTAAGAATTCTGGTTTTATCCTGCTTTTACGGTGTGAAGAAAATGCCACTGGGGGGCGGGGAGAAAGCATGGGTATTTAAAACAGACCAACCCCACAACCTTAATACAAAACTACTGTAATGTAAGGATTACATATAGAAATGAAATGGATGTTCTTCATATTAAAATATTGTCAATGAAGCTCAGTCTTGTGAATTCATGTTTTCTGGAATTAAAAAACGGAGCGGTGGATATAACGGATTGGGTAAGAATAGCTACAAATGCTAACAATTTTTAGTATATTGCTAAAGAATCTCAAAGTTGATGAGACAATATATTGAAGTCTGCTTAGATTGCTGTATTTGCACTAATATTCTGCTAAAGTAAGGGTATTTTGTTGTAGATATTCCCAAATAGGTCTAGTCAAAACAACATTGTGCTAATGTAAGAACTAAGCAGGTAATGGATGACTGGTAGTTGTATTTTTGCCTCTTCCATGTTTTCCTTTTTCTAATAACTTCAGGATACAGGATTTAAGAATATAGATTCCTGGGTAAGCTTATGTAAAACGATGATGCTTCCAGCTCCGATAAAAACATCCGCTGAGAGCTTCAAACAGTTCAGGAAAGCAGCATTAAAGAGGAGGAGTGAGCAAGCCCAGGAGTTAAAAAGGCCACTGGTGCAAGCCGAGGCAGAACTGCAAGACCTTCCTCAAGAAAAAGAGAGGTTTGTAACCACATATGTTGAAATATTATTCTGTTTTTTGCTTGTATGGTTCCTGGGTGGCTTAGTTATTCAGGAACAAGTGGTTTGAATTAGGTAATTGCCATGTGTCAGATGAAGGGGGGGAGCTGTACCACTCTAAGCACAACTGCACATCCAAAATGCACAAAGTACCTTTTTCCCTTGCAAATCAGTATCATTTCAGCAGCCAAAGAAACTTCTCAGGTACTTCTTTTTTAGTTTGTTTTGTTATTTGAACCCTGGACCACTCAATTCCTCTGGTCTTGACCAAAATTCACACCTGTCCTCAGTATCTTACTTTCCTGTATCTGTAGCCAAGAAAACCAGATCTTATTGCTATCCTAAGGGGAAAGCAGGATAATCTAGTCTTCAGGAACTTGGTGTTAACACAGCTAAAGGAGTTCCAGTGTGCACCACTTCAGACACCAGAATTCTTTGCATTGCTGTAAAGAAACATATGGAATAAGCTACTGCTGTAGTATTCTTCCCTAGTTGTTTGCAACCACTGTTTCAGTGAGTGCCCACACATGTATCCCAGTCTGAGGTCTATTATTATGCTGAGTGGGTTAAGTGACTGCCTACTAATTACTGCATTGCAGTAATATCTTAGATTGCTCTTTGCCACCTTTTTGAAACTCTGCTTTCTGTAGTATTTCCCTCTTCAGTAGTCTCAATTTGTTTTTTCTTGTCTGTTTGACCCTGTGAAAGGTAAATCCGAGCCAGTTCCTAAATTCTCCTGATCCTGACCGTCGCTGGCTGTATTGGAACGGGTTGCTTGTTTGGAGTGTATTATTTTAATAAACTGAGCATTTGAGAGACTTAAGAGTACACTCCTTGTTCAGAACGTATACTGAACACTCCAGGCACCTTCAGCTACTACAGGTTTCCACGAGGAGGAAACCAGGCATGTAGCTCTATGGAATAAGACATTACAGGTGCTTGCCTGAAGTTAGTGAAATCTAACTCAAATAACTAGTTGAAGAGGAAGAAGGTAGAAGCAAAACATCATGGGCCAAGAAAGTAACAGAAATGTTAAGCGTGTACATCTGTCAGAGAACGTGCATGTAAGCTTTGTGTAGCACGTATAAAAGTTCTGTGTGCATATAGATTGGAAATTAAATACAGGAAACCTTATCCTGCTACAGCCCAACAATTGCGTGCACCTACCTCTTGCGAAGGGAAATCACTTAATCAACGTATAAAACAGAACCACAGTTTGAGGGTTATGCGTTGATTTATTTGCAGAACTCTCTTCAGGTGCAAAGGCTTGTTGTGAAGAAAAGAAGAAAAAACTTTTATCCTATATTGATATCTTCTGCTTTCTTTAAAGGGGCAATGAAGGCACAGGGTTGGATGCCATGACAGCGACAGACTCTGAGCCCCAAAAAGAGCAAAAGATCAAACAACTGCCCGAAGCTCAACAACACGCTCTTGTTCAAGACCGTAACTTGGCTAGAAAAATTGAACAAGAACGCAGGAGGAGAGAAGCAGTAAGTTGCTGACTCTTGCCAGCTGATTTGCTTTCAACTTGAGTAGAGAATAAAAAATGTTAGCTCAGGTCCTTATTTTAAAGGGCCTGAATGATTGAGAACAACAGAACTATGCTACCTGAAGAGTTAGTCCAGAAAATGAAACAGGAAACTCAAAGCAGGTCTTCAAGTGGCGGAGTATGAAAAACTATCTGCTTGGTCCTATTAGAAGCTTAGAATAATTGCATGGTAAAATCAAATTTTAAAGGGGAGTCCCTGCCCTTTGAATAAGTGCAAACCTCAAGTCTTGCACGCTGTTTATCCTCTTTAACGTATTCCATGTCAACAAAAGTGCTAGTCATACTGTTCTGGTCTGAAATGTCAAAACTGAACCTTTTTAAAACTAACTTACTGGCTTTATTGGTGTAGGTAATGAATGTTTTTTAATTGCTACTATTTTTGTAGACTAAACATTTTTTTTTAAATTCATAATATTGTACAATGGAACGTAAGAACCGCAGTGTGAGATCATGCTAGATTCAGATAAGGTCTACTGAAGTTTTCATCCTGTTCAGCTCTTTTTGGGAAGAAGCTTTGTAGTTTTTTCTTAAATCTTTATTAAATATTTGACCTGCATAGTACTAATTGATGTCTACCTGCTCTGAAAATACCCTAATTTGCTTTCTTGCAGATGGCTTGTACAATTGATATGAATCTGCAGAGTGATATTATGGCATCTTTTGAAGAATATCTTGAGTGAAAGCTATAGTTAACATAGAACTTAACTTCAACACTACTACAAACTATACAACTTTAAAAATGTACTAGTTACAAGCTTAAATGTTAAGACCACTTTAAAGAGCATGTAAGCTCCTCTAAAATGCTTAATATTAAAAGCTTGTTTATTGATACTTGAAGCATCTCTCTGCTGCTTGTTTACAATATATGTAATCTAGTCTGCTACACAGTGGAACATAGTTGTTCTTTTGATTACAGTTTTATATGTTGTGAGAAAATATCAGCTTCTTGATTTTTTTCTCATTTTTTTTAAATCAAATTTTTTCAGAAACACTTGAGAATCTGTTATACTGAGCATAGCTAAATTCTTGTGTTTGACTGTATTAAGTCATAGCATACTAAATATGCACCTATAGAAACTACTTTAAACCAAGGTCTTGTCAATCATGTGATTGCTATTAAAACGGTAACTTTACTATGACATGCTTGCACAGAATTTGGGCTGTGACAAAAGACCTCTATAATAGTGATAATTTCTAAAGGGTATGTAACGTTATTTGTAATCATAAAAAAACCATTTCCTGGAACTCTGTAATTTCAGCAGCAAATCCTGTATACTTGCATGTCTTTTAAGGCCCAGACATGTTGATCTTCTGTTTAACGTATTCTATGTTAACATAACATTTGGATAAGGGTGCAAGCATGTTTGCCATAATGGTTCTGGTTCTTCACAGAAAGAAATTACCTAAAACATACCACTTCTGGCTCCAGTTTGAAAGGCTTTCTGATTAGTGCAAGATTTTATTAATGTTGGGATACTTGTCTGAAGTAGAAACTAGAGTGTAAAAACCCTATGTTCTTGCTGATTACACATAGCTATCTCAAATTAAGTAGAGGACTAATAAAACATTGTTTTATAGAATTAATACCAAATCACAATGTGTATTACAGAAATGTTGGGTGGAAGGGACCCCCTCGAGATAACCTAGTTCAGTGGTCTCCAAACCTTTTTTGTCATGCACCCCATCAGTAAAAAATTTTAAGCATGCACCCCCAAGACATGTATATTTATTCATTTATAAATTATATACATGTTCTACTGTACTAATATATTATGTACATTATAAAAACCACACAAAAATAGAAATTAAAAATATTTTAAATAGTGTTTATTTAATTTTGCTTAGTTATGTTTATTTTGTTTTGCAATAAAAAAAATTGGTTTGTATTATTTTCTTCCCACGCTCCACTTTGGAGACCACTGATCTAGTTGAACCTCTGCCTCAAAACTTTCTCTTCCTATGGAGACCTCTGGTCTGTTGAGTTTCTGGATCAAAGTTGGAAGTGAAGGTAACACTGCCAGTGTTGTGGTGAGGGTCTGCCACTGACCACCCAACTAAGTAAATGAAGTGGACAAGACTTTCTATAAATAACTGAATTTTCAGATAAAGGAAATAAATTGCATCTCAATTCATAAATGACAGCTAAAGCATGCCTAAAAATGGTAGCCTGGTCTTTCAGGTAAGAGCTAGTGCTAGTTCCAAAATACCTAGTCTGCAATAAAATACTGCTCTGTATCTTCTACTTTGCCACTGCTGGAATGGTAGTATTTCATTCCATAGCAGAAGGAGTGTATATTGACAAATGCTCAGATTGGGGTATCACCCCTTGAAATGTCTAGGGAAGTCCTCTTACATGAGCCTTGCCTGGATGCATGCTCAAGTGTATGCTGTTTGGGAGATTTGAGTACTTGGCTAGGAAGGGGATTTGGGGTGGAAGATGGGTCATAATGTAAAGTGGTGCCATTAGGATGCCTTGTTTCACATCCACATCAAAAGTGATTTAGGCCTGACTTCATTTGTAGTTTATACATCATGAATAGGTATTTGTCCTGCAATAAAATATTACAGTTCACATTCAGGACTCCCTACCTTGCTGTCATCTGGACATACTTTCTGACTGGGTTAACGCAAGCTCAAGATCTCTTGCTTTGGAAACACGAGGTGATGGAGGGAAAGGCAAGAATTTATTCTCTGCGTTTCATCCATTCTATATAACCGTATGTGCATTGCTAATGGTATGAACTGGTACTCTTGCCCCTTCAAAAACTAATTCCAGCTTCCATGACTCTACTGTCATGATGACTTAAAGCCATAATGTCAGTGTTGCTAACAACTAATCTGATAAACCCTTTATTTGCAACCTACAAGCCAGTTAAACGAGGATAATCAGGTCCTACCTCCAGACAGAAGGCTGAGTTCAGAGGAAAGGGAGATGGTCTCCAAACATAAGTAAGCAACAAGCCTATAATGATTGTGTTTGCCCAAAGCTGTCACCGCACTCAAGCAAGCAGGAATACCACTTGTGCAGATACAGCCTACAAACAAAAAGCTGCTTAAACAGACTAAGTATTGTTAGTTACTTAACAGTTAACATGTGTACTAAGTTCTGTTATGCCACTGTTACCTTGATCATTTGTGAAAACAGCTGCACTAATGTGTCATTTTTGTACTTGTGTCTACACTAGTAGATTGTATCTACATGTAAATGAAGTGTAAGATAGTTAAAAGCTTTAAAAAGTTCCTCTGTCACTAATAAACGGAATATGTTAGATTTTTTTACTATCGAGTACGAGTTGGCCAGGTCAGAGGCAGAGTCAGTGACATGCAGAGTTGTCCTCTTTTGCGTCTCAGAGCAACAGGGTTAGTTGAACTGACAAAAGATTAGCAGGCAGATGGCACATCATCGAGGGCAAAGCACGTTGTCAGAGCTCCTACGACAATCTGCCCTGGGGCTGGTTTGGCTTGGCACCCATTAGAGCAACAATTTAGAGCAGAACATGAGAAAATCAAAACATAAGGAAGACAAAAAAAAGAATCGTTGGTGTTCTCAATTTTTCTTATTCAAATGACATATATAGAAGATTCTAAGCTTTCTTCTGCAAAATGCTGGGAAAGGTGTAGAAGGTATTTGCTTTGTACAAAGAGGTTTGCCACGCGTGTGTAGACAGCGTGGTCCTGGAAGAAAGCATTCCTCAATAAAGGAGGAATTCTGCTGCTTCCTTGGCAAACAGGACAGCTAAGGTAGCGCAGGTGGAGATGCCCAGAAATGCTGAGCCAGACTGTGCTGAAGGGTGTGCAGAAGGGCGGGCAGCAATTTCGTCGTGCAAAAGCCATGCGGAACTGCTAGGTTCCCAGAACTATCTTCTTCCCAGCTCTGATACTGGATCCATATCTAATATCTGAAGGTGACATAGCTAAACTCCACAGGCAAAAGGTTTGTATAATTCAGCAACTTGACATAAAACCACCTAGGTAGTTAGTGATGTATAAAGTAAAAATAGACTTAGTTCTATTCTTGTGAAAAAATTAGCTCTGCAGTTTGTACAAGAAATATGGCATAGCTTGGCCAAATACCTGCTTATAATAAGGCACATCACGGCTCCATCTTTGATCCTTCTTATTTTCTAGATGGCCACTATCGTTTTGTGAATGCTGCGTCTAACCTGTGGCCGGGCTTCCATCAACCTTTCTTTAGAGGTTAGTGGAAGCTTGTGGTCAACTCCAGGATTTTCAACCTTGGTTTTCCAGTTTTTCTTAGGGGATGTTTTCTACCAATTCATTCTGATTACTGGTTTATTAAGGAATTTGGTGACTACTGTGATATAAACAACAACATTGGTTGCTTTGCTCCTGCCAAACCTTCTAAGTTATCTAACTGGGTCACTGAGGTGCACTTCAGGGAAAATCCTGCTGCAGCTAGTCTGATACCGAGAAGCTGCAAAGGCTTCTTCCCTACAAAAAGGGTTATTAGCACGAAGTCTGATGCATAAAAAATCAGCTATATGCTAATCCTAGGGTTGGCAGTATGAGTAATCTGAGCATGAACGGAAGGCTCAGGCTTGGTAGGCATGATTCATATAATCCTACTGGAGTCTGCAGAGGTTAGTGTCTTAACTGAATCATCAGCTTCTGATGTTGTTCCTTCTCTTCTTGCCCAAGCCCAGCACCTTTTTCCCCAGCAGCCTGATAAAGCTCCTGACCTTAAGTTGGTAGGGCTCACATTGAGACAGTGAGCAAGGATCGTGAACAGCATGATTCAGCGTTGTCAGCTGATGTGGGTTGCTGATATTTGTGTTACTGGTAAGAGGAAGCTAGGCAGCTTTTTATAGCTACTTGAACATGTTATCTTTAGTAGTAAAAAATAAATTCAGGTAATGGTTGTGTGTCTTACATAAACTTTTAAATGCATGAAAACGCAGTAATGGGCAATTCTTTATAACATTGCTTTCTGCTGCTGACGTTTTTTATTTGTTTTTTAAAAAAAAAAAATTTTGAACTGGTTAAAACCGTTAATTCTGTCGCTGCCTACAATGGGACTAGCATTCAACATCAGTGTCTGTATTTGTAAGTCTGAATTTAGAACAAGTAGGAGAAAGCATTTGGTATGTTACAGACAAAAATCGTCTACAAGCTGTGTTCCATGCATAGTGAAAAATTATATATATTCCATCTGTATACATGGTTATCCAATTTGTGGGGTTTTTTAATAGCTCATTAAATTACATATCTTAGAGTTAACAGATGCATGGTGTCTTTGTACCAGCTTCTATTTGCACTGCTGGACAGAGCAAAAAAAAATTTCTTGGAAGTTAAGTTCTAAACCTCCAAACTCGCCTGGACCAAGAAGAAATTTTGGTCTTTGTCAAATTCAAGTAAAATTTGGGAAAACCTCCCCCCCCAAAAAGGCAGGCAGTCCCACACAGGCCTACATTATTAGCTGTGACTCTCACGTGGCCTCTACAAGTCTCGAACCTGCCTGTGCCCTCTTGTCTGAGAAGCAAGGGGTTTAGATCAAGGAGTAAAGGTGAGCAGGCTGTGCATCGAGTTGGATCAGGACTTGTCAGGATTTGACATGCAAGTTCCATTCTACTTTTCTAGGAGTCAGCAACTACTACGTCCAGATTTCATTATCTCCCAGAACTAATAATAGTAATATATAATAATAATATAGTTGTGCTTT